GTGATATATCAATTTACACACGACAGAATCCTCAGGGCATTCCCAGAAAGGGCCTGGAAGTCCCCGAAGAACGCGACTACTATCCATACTGAGGACCCACACCGTGGAACGACATCGCTATCATGGTCAGCAATGAAAAGACTAAGAAACTGATTATGAAATATGTTAATAGCTCTCACTACTGGCGCAAATGTAAGGCAGTGGAACTCTCTCTTAATTTTCTCTCTTCTTCCGGTTCTTACTTTCTCTCTTTTTCAGACATGTGCATTATCCCAAAAGGGCTAAAATATCACACTGACTGCCCCCCAGATAACCAAGGTGTTGTTGCTAAAAAATGTGTCGCCAAATACATTACCGAGGGCAAGTGTAAAGCGGCTGGAGGTACTTGGTCAAAATTCATAACAAACTACTTGGAGAAGACCGCTGGAAAGTTAAGTACTTGCCAGGTTGTGGGTGACATGAAGCTGACCAGAGGCGTGCCTTACGAAGCACACAAGTCTCGCAAGGATGTGATGATAAGAAACAGTATATTCTTCTCCACAGACCTCCTGAAGTGATTGACGCTCCATCTACTGTCGTCAACCGCAACGGAATAAACATGGAAGGCAAGTTTTCTTCTTACAAATGGAAGGTCCCTTGCTTTCCATCTAACACAACACAACGTTGTGTCATACGGATAAGGTGAGAAAGACGAACATAACTATTTTTTTACGAGTTAGATATTTTGAATCCTTCTTTTCGGTGGCATATCAAAGTCTCTTTCACTAACACCCTCAACGCTATCCACCGTTTCAGTATATACTTAATATATTGTATTATAATATATATCATATGCTTTCATGTCCAAATTGAGCACTGTGGGATGAGTCATTGCCGCTAGCTTTGTGCATAGCTCACTAGTCTTTTCTAGTTTGAGCACTCTGGCATGGCTTAGATGATACCACAAATGTGGGATCGTTTGAGGTGACCAGGTCGGTTCTCCCCCAGAAGGCCGAAACAGTTCTGTCTGCAGTTATATATCATTCTATAGATACAAAGAATTTTTTTTCAGATACAACATCACGACGGATGACGTACCAAGGGATTTCAATGCTTCTCATAATTATAAGTAAGAGTTGATATATCGTTCTCTTAATTCTTTAAGAACCTAGGAGTTGAGAAACTCTTAGTTGCAAACGCACTAAATCAAGTAATTTTTAGAACCTCTTCGAACATCACGGGAATCGAATCGAAGTAAAATAAAAGGTACAACTTTAACAAAGGCTCTGTAAATCAGCTGAGAATGGGAACATTAATCGCTCATTCATTTGCTTTTTTTCTTGGCTGAGGGAAGAGGAATTTAATTACTATAATAGAGAACTAGCCCTGCGCGGGTTTTATAGGAAATGAAGTACGACTTTTGAAGGTAAAATGTCAATAAAACAACTACGATTCGAAAATTTTCTCGTGATCTCTTTTCATTACAACAGTGCTGGTATGTAGTTATTCTGAATTTTAACCTTTACATACTTTTAATTTGGAGCAACGTGTAATTGTTATTATATTTGAAGAGTCACCAATAACCCTCTGACAAAAGCCGTTGATAACAAGACCGACCTCCAGCTAGCTTTGAATACCGCGCAGGTCGGCAGAACCTTTCAAGACAGAAGTCATGTGATCATCCTAAAACCACGGAACCATTTGCCACCGGAACATCAGCATCGTACCATTCGCTATATCGGAGGGATTGGCAAAATAGGAAACATCGTTCAGACCTATCCAGCCATGGAATATCTCTTTTTTCCTGAACGCATCATGGTCACAACAGACGAAATAGTGTGTTTCGTCTGGTCCGGTATGAGGAAAAATATTTATTTGGCAAGTTGAACGGAAACTATGGTTTGCTTTCATCAAAATTCGTCCCGGATTTCAGCTGTCCTTTTTTCTTTTGTTTTACACTGTGATATTTGGATATACGGCAATAAAAACCTTCGATGTTCTTTGATTTCAATACTTTAATCCACACACTATCCACATGGCAGCCAACGAGTATCACAACAACAACTTTCGCTAGGCATCACGGGATGCCTACAAACACAACCTTTTCAGACTTCCGGTACAATACACTACACACACTTTTCTTAATTCTTGTCCACAACAACTCAATTAAATTTTTATTAACTAAAGGTGTCTTTGGGTTCACTAGTGTTTATGTCAGTGCCGTTGTATAGGCCTCTTAAAACAATTATATACACCGAGTGCAAATATGGCGTCCAATTTGAATTGCCATTGCTCTGGACTGACTAGCCTCTCACACATGTAATAATCCTTTTGTGTTTCCAGGTGAAGACGAGGCTAGTCAGTCCAGAACAATGGCAATTCAAATTGGACGTCATATTTGCATTCGGTGTATTTATAGGAATATTTTGTTACTATAGGACCCAAAAAAGTAAACCAAATTTATCTATTCACAGTTTATAATCTCTCGATCTATTTTTTTAAATAACCATTTCTTTTTTCTATTTAGGTTCAAACAAGAATCCTGAGAAGTATGACGGACAGGGAACAGCTGATAAGAAAATGCTAGACACGTAACAAGTAACAGTCGTCAGATCACGCATAAGGTACTGCGGGACATTGATTGAGAAAAAATGGACGCTCTTTTTTCATCAGCATTCCTTATCAACCATCCATCGACTTTCTAGAAAAAATTTTGGCAGGAAAAGTGGAACGAATACACATGTTCAAGGCCTGCAAAGCTAACTTTCCAGAAGAAATATTGCAAAAACAAAGTTCTTGTCATTCTACGGCTAATTTTACGAAGTCCCTTCGGACAACCGATAATCATAAATGGTTGATACATTGTAAAAGACATGAAAAGCAAAATACTTTTCTACGTTTACAGTTTACCTTGAAGTCTCTACCTCGTGCAAGTTTGGAGACTTCAAACGTCGGCCGTTTGAGAATGGCAAAGTTATTGATAAACATGCGGATTTTCTTTGCTAGGTACGGATCGCACAAACGTGTGCTGGATTAAGGAAGGGTGCAGGTCTTTGAAGCCGAAAGCTTGTTTCACTCTCCCTCTCGAAGTAGTTGACCATTTTGACGAATTTAATGGCCATAATTTGAATCTTCACCTCAACAAAGGATGTTATACCGGTGACCAAACGCTGGACGCTGAGCTGAACAATGCTCCAGCCTCCTGCAATCCACCGTGCTTCCGCATCAAGGAGCCTGGGGAGTACTGTTACATGGGCACGCGCAATAACAATTTCTCCAATCGACGTCACATTGGTCAGATCACTGTCATTAATCCCTACTAGTGATTGACCAATATCTGCTACAGCTGAGTTCAGGATCACTACTCAGTCGTATTTTGTTTTTAAATGTTGGGCTTTTTATGTTAAAATAAAACGAGGAATAAGGACATTTACGAGTAGTTCGTTAGCAACGGTTGTATATCATTTTTATTAGAGGGGTTGGTGCTACTGTGAACAAAAAACTGTCCAAAAAATAAAATGAGGGAGTATATGGGATAAGTGCATTTGTGGTTAATTTTCTTTGCGTACAACCAACTCGCTTAAAGTCCCTGTTCTATCTTGTGATTTTTAAGTGGACATTTATACAGCTTCTAATGATAATGATACTAATTAGGGATATTGCCGAGAACGGAGGACGAGCATGCTAATCATAATTATCATCATCATCCAAAACTTTCGCCATTCGATTTATCTTCTCTGAAGGATCCTTTTGATGAACCTTTTTCAAAAATTATAGCACAGATTTCTATCACGCTTTGCTTTCTCCGAAAAATCAAAAAGTTCAAAATACGCCCAGATGACCGTTGACTTCGGCAACTTGGTACGCCACAAAGTGACGCAATCCCACGAAAAGGGGTACTTCCGGGTTGAGAAGAGTTCGGGCTATTATGACACATAAGCAATGCGAACCGCTGAACAGCTGTTACGGCCCATTTTCATGCCCATTAAAAGGTCTGGTATATATACTCTAAAATCATAATTTACATCGTCTTAAGGCTTTATCCTTGTTTATTTCGTCAAATTTTCTTCCTTGAGCCGCCATAAGAGGTGCGGTGCGGTCCCTGACAGCTCGCACTAAGTCAGTGATACAGTCCATCTAACTGTCTCGTGGAAAAATGTCGGTCAGGATCCTTAATGTTAGCATTTTTAGTTTCGAGAGGTTATTGACTTTTTGTTTCTGTTAGACTCTTCAGTCCATTCTTCGTGTCTACCATTATTTCAAACAGCGCGCAAAAATGTATTAAACACGTGTTCAAATGTTCCTCTGGGCGCCTAAGCGGTCATTACAGGAAGGCCTAATTAGTTCCATATATGGTAGTTAGCACGAGCAGTCGCTCCTAACTCATTGCACACGCCCTTCATTGAACACGCGCGCGCCATGCTCTGTACGCCGTGAGTCAGAAAATGGAAATAGGCCAATAATTATGTAATGCTAAATAATATATATGAGTACCAAGGCTCCGTAGCTTTAAGCGCTATCATCATGTGTCTTCGTTCAATGATTATAGTAACACCTGGAATTTAATTTAATCGGGACTTCGATCGTTTTTGGATCAAAATCCACCAAGGCGGTTGGAAGAGTATTAAGCTATGAAAGCAATTCCTAGATGAATTCGGCTTATGCAGAGCGGATTCAAATTCAGGACGGGGAGGGTGAAACAGCCAGTCGGTCTGTTCGACCAATTGTCAACCGAGTATGGAAAGTAATTGGGGAGTGGTTTAACTAGCCTTTTTGAGCTCAGTCGCAGACTCAGGAAATTATCATCATCCTTTTAATAAATCCATCGCAAGTTAAACCCAATAGAGTCTTGATCGCTTATTTTGTCCTTTAGGAAATTTTATTCTTTTTACTCCAAGTCTTTTAGAAATATCAACCTTCGCCTCTATCGGCCATTTTCGTTAATTTGCCAAATGCTCCAGAACTTCAATCAAATTGCGCTCTTAAAAAAGGTGCACATTGAAGTGAGGAACAAAAAGACATATTTCTTACTTTCCCATTTTATTTTTAACAGTTTTAAGATAATTGTTTGCAAGCACCAACACCTTTAATAAAATGAAATACAACCATTGCTAGCGAACTAGACCGTATGAACTAATTCCTCGTTTTATTTTACCATAAAAAGCCCAACATCTGAAAAACCAACACCATTAAGTAGTGTACCAAAAAATCAGTTACAGCATGCAATGTTCAATCACTATTGAGGTTTGGTGACAGTGATTTGACCAATGTGACGACGATTGGAGAAATTGTTATTGCGCGTGCTCATGTAACAGTACTCGCCAGGCTCCTTGATGCGGAAGCACGGTGGGTTGCATGAGGCCGGGGAATTGTTCAGTTGAGAGTCCAGTGTTTGGTCATGGGGTAAACAGCCTCTGTTGAGGTGAAGATTCAAATTGTAGCTGTTAAATCCTTCAACGTGGTCAATAACGTCAAGAGGGAGCCTGGAACAATATTTCGGCGCCAGAGTTTTGCACCCTTCCTTAATCCAACACACGTTTGTGCGATCCGTACCTAGAAAGAAGTATGAAATAAGTTTTTCAAAAAGAACGAGCGCGAAGTAGATTTTGCGCAAAAAAAAAAATCAGTTATTCCTATTTAAAGCTATCAGTTATTCCTATTTAAAGTAGTTTCCTCATACGGGTGCAATAATCTAAGCCGCATCTGTTGAGCAAGAGTCCGGTATAAACGAAATTTACAAAGATTTGATCATCCGCTATCCTTTAAGCGTGATTCCTTCTTTATTCTCTTACTGTTGTTTGACTGCTATTATTAATGCATATCTTTCTTTTCAAAATTCTCCTTGCTGAGCCTGCTCAAATTTTATAAGAAAGTCGATGGGTGGAATGCCGATGATACTCAACATAACATAACATAACATAACATAACATTTATTCAGGAAGTTACAACGCAGATACAAAAAATACATCCTGAAAAGGGAAAATCGTGAGGTTAGCCCTGTATAAAAACAACTTCCCTAACTAAAAACATACAAAGATAAAATCTAATGGCTACAGATTCAATAAATATTCAATAAATATTCAAATACTGAGATTTTAAGTCTACTCTCAAAAACAGACAATGATTCGGCGTGTACAATGTATCCTGGCAAGCCATTCCATTTCCCCACTATGCGAATGAAGAAAGAACATTTGTAACAATTACAAACCGCTCTTTTCAGGTAAAGTTTATAGCCGTGGTTAGCTCTTGTACGCTTGTTGGCAAACACAAAGAAATCTGGGAAAGAGAGGTGATCAATACCAAAAACTATCTTATAACATTGAACCAGAGATAAAAATTCTCTCCGCTTTTCTAGTGTTTGCCATTTTAGTAAGCTACAACGTTGTTCGTAACTCATTTCGCCACGTTTCTGCCTTAAAGCTAGTCACGAAGCTCTTCGTTGAACCTTTTCTAGAGCCGTAATATGCTTAATCAAATACGGACTCCAAACAGGAGCCGCATACTCCAGTATGGGACTGATCAATGACTTATAGAGCTGCGAAAACACGTACTGGCTATTAGTTCCGATAGACCGCTCTATGATACCTAGTACCACATTTTCCTTATTTACCGTTGCAGATACATGCATGCCCTAGGACAGGTCAGGAGAGATGGTTAGTCCGAGGTCCGAGGCCCTTAGTGTTCTCTACCGACCTAAATTGCCCCCCCCTCTCTGCGAGTAAATTGGTTTGGTTTTATCCTTTCTATGTGTAATACGCATGACCTCGCATTTATCCGGATTAAAGTGCATCTACTACTTATTTTCCCATATACTCAATCGATCTAGGTCACTCTGCAGAGCAAGGATATCAACAACTGGTGAACTGATTGTACGGTAGATTTTGGTATCATCCGCATAAATCTTGACAGTAGATGTCAAATCTGTTGAGATGTCATTTATGTAGATGATATACAAAATAGGGCCAAGAATTGTTCCTTGGGGCACCCCGGACTTCACTGACGTCCAATCCCAACACTTGCCTCTAATAACAACGCGTTGCATTCTGTTTGTCAAAAAATGTTTAAACCACTGCAGTAAAGGCCCATCTATGCTATACCTATTCAGCTTAAGCAATAAACGCTCGTGTGGTACACTATCAAAAGCTTTGGACATGTCTAAAAAGATAACGTCAGTAGGTTTAGAACAGTTTCTAGCTTTAGCCCAGTCATCGTAACAAGCTAGCAACTGCAATAAAGTGGATTTACTGCTGAGGTACGCGAATTGATCTGGGTTGAAAAGATTTTGATCACACCAAAAATCAACGACTCCATTCCTCACCACCTTCTCCGCAATTTTGCATAGAATACACTTGAGTGAAATCTGACGATAGTTCTCTCTAAGAATCCTATTCCCTTTCCTGTACATCGGTGTAATGTTGGCATTTTTCCACATTGTTGGTAGCTGACCCAACGAAAAAGATGTATTCAAAAGTAACGCTAACGGAGAAGATAACACCTGACTACATTCTTTCAGAAACCGTGGCGATATGCCGTCTGGCCCAGGGGATTTATTCATATTTTTCAGCATTTTTTCGATCTCTTCAGGGGAACAATAAATGTTGCATAATTTCTGGTTAGTAACGTAATCGAAAACAGGAATGTTAGCTTGGTCCTCAACAGTAAATGCAGACGAAAAAAATGGTCCATGCTATTTGCAATACTAATATCGTCATTTAGAAACTCATCGTTTACTTTCAAGGATACTAGATCGCTTGATCCTTTTCTCTTGGATTTTACATAATTCCAAAGCATACTCAGCCTCTGCGTCCATTTTTTTTTCTCATCCAGGGTCATTGCTAACATGTGCGGGATCTGATCATCATTTCTGTTAATAAGAATGATTGTGATGATTATGCCGCATTTTCTTACCAGCTGTTCCTTGTCCGGCGTAGTGCTGAGGATTGTTGTTTGAACCTCAAAAAAAAAAAACAAAGTAAATAAAAAACATTTTTGATACAATTTTTGTACAAAACGATCTTCGTATGTCTGTACAATAAGAATTTGCAAATTAATATGGATGAGAAAAGTGTGAAACAAAAGGTCATAAGGACAGCTGAAAATTTCTCGTTTAGCTACTGCTCATTTTTGTTGAAAGCGAACCGCTTACTTCAATTCAACATGCTATATAAGGGTTTTTCTTCATACCAGACCAGACGAAGCACACAATTTCCTCTGTTGTAACCGTGATGCGTTCAGGAAAAAAGCGATATTCCATAGCTGGATAGGTCTGAACAATTTTTCCTCTTTTCCCAATTCCCCCGATGTATCGAATGGTACGATGCTGGTGTTCTGGTTGAATAATGTTTCGCGGTTTAAGGAGGATCACATGACTTCTGTCTTGGAAGGTCCTCCCGACCTGCGCGGTATTCAAAGCTAGTTGTAGCTTTGTCTTATCAACCGATTTTGTCGTCGGGTTATTTTCGAGTCTGCAAATACAATGTAAAACGTCATACATTGCTTTAGCGCTGCACCAAAATGTGTAAAGGCTAAAATTTGGAATGATTGAAGAGTAGCCCTATGTTGTAAAAAAAACTACATTTTCGCTTCCGCAAATATATTTCATTTCGGGTGAAAACTGGCGCAAGGTTAAAGTTATATTTAAATTTATGAACTGAAATAAATTCTTCTTTACTCAGCCAAGTAATACCTTTCATTCTAAACTGGTTCAGGGTTTCCTCCTTAACTGGTGTCGTTAGCTTTACTTTTAAATTTAAGAATTTCCATCTGTTGAATCTAACACTAGCTAGCCATAGTTAAAGCTTGTTTCTATCAATTTTGTTATAAGTCTTGCGTAAGTCAAGAAACAAGAGAATAATAAATAATAAATAAATATGTGAAGGTGTAGTCTGATCGTCCGGGTGAGTGTAGTCCTGAGAAGGACTGTTGTCGGTGGCAGTGACTGACGTTTCGACAACCTGTGCGGAAGTCATCATCAGAGTCAAGTGAATGATTGTTGTCAGTAGAATGTTCTTATTCCAGTTCGTGTGAAATGATCGGTTGGTTTTGCCGTGATGTTATTGGCTGTAAGACTCAAGTGACGTAAGTCGGTCGTGATTGGTCTGTTTCGGTCTGTCGGTAAAGCTAGGTTGTTCTTTTTCGGTCGTTTGTGATGTTTATGTCGTGAATGAGTCGTTTGTATGGGGCGGGTAGTTGTTGACATCTGTTTAGGGGAGTCTGTTCTAAGTTAGTAAACCAGCTTTCCAGAGTCAGTCGTTGAAAATAGTCAGTGCTGTAGGTTAGGCATTGCGCAGAGTCCCAGTCAATGTTGTGGTTGGTAAGTCGATGGTGTTCAGCAATGTGATTGCTGACATCACCTTTCCTCGTCGCCCGTCTGTGTTCAGTCAGTCTTGTTGTGAGGTTTCTGCCAGTCTCACCGATGTAGGAGGCTTGGCAGTCGGAACAATTGATCTTATAAATCGTTCCCTGTCTGTTCCTCGGTTCGTCTTTGTCTTTAACGTTGGTTAGTAACTGACGTAGTGTGGTGATGGGTTTGTGGGCGACGCGGATATTGAAGGGTAGTAAGATGCGCGAGATGTTTTCAGACATGCCTTTTATGTACGGTATGGTTGCTGTAGTCGTAGGGGTTGCGGTGTCGTTTGTTTCGGTAGTGGTAGTGGGTCGGTGAGTGTTTCGTCGGATGAAGTCGTTGTTGTAGTTGTTCTTCGTAAAAACACGGTGAAGGTATTTGTTCTCGTCGGATAAGCTGTCTGTCGAGTCACATACTAGTTGTGCGCGTCGTGTTAGAGTTCTGATAGTTGTGGCTTTGTGTGATGTAGGGTTGTAGGATGACTCGTCTAGTAATCTGTCGGTGTGTGTCGGTTTCCTGTAAACTGTCGT